AAAAAAAAAAAAAAAAATGTTGATGCTTGTTGACCCAAACTAACATTTTAATGGGGAACAATTGAACACATACACTCAGATGTGAGCAATACTAACTTCTCAGGAAAATGGATTATGCCCTTTAGTACATCTGAATTCCTAATAATTTGAATCATTTTCACTGATTTATGCATTTGCCTCTTGATGGGTAGACTCCCTCCCTAATTTGTTATCAGAGCCCTGACTTATCCACGCGTATACCTGATACAGAAGGGCCAATCAAAATCATGTGCTGGTCCCCTTGAATTCTAGACTTATGTTACAGTCCAGCAAAGGGAACTGTGTCTGTGTTGCCCTTAGTTGCCTGGCAAAAACCCTAGTATGTATTTGGAATGATTCGGAAATTAGTTCTTAAATGGGATCTTGTCAGTGGAAATCAAAATGGTACCAGATACCTGTGTTGGGTTCAGATTGTCCTCAGCTGCTGCATGGCATCATTTTAGCAAACCAACCCCCACAGTTGACTCTGCTCACCTGCCAGGGTTTGCCCAAGTTTGCTTCACTCTGGTCATGACACGCTGATTTTGACAATGTCAAGTTAGTTACAGTGAAGGCCAGACAGAGTCCATCAAGCCTGAAGACTTAGCACCCAACAGCCTGGAGGAGAGCCCAGAACATCCATGCTGAGTAAAGAGGGCACTGCCCGGCAGCACGTGGATATAGTGCTTTTAGCTATCCTTTAATTGAAATAGCTTCCCCACTTATGAAGCAAAGGGACTGCCAGATCAAAACTCACCCTTCTCACAAACATGATTAAGAGAAAGGTAGATGTGCAAAGTCATGTGGATGCATTTTTGACCATCATGTAATATACACAAGGAGGAACACGATGCTATATAAATCAAACAATGCAGGGATTTCTCTTGGTGTTTCATTTGAGGAATAGAAATACTTGAAAACCACATATTCTTGGGCAAAAATTCAAGAAAACCAATGTAGTTAGTCAAGTGGGGTGGATGGGGGAAGATGAATGTTGTTCAGCATCACATGGGTGAAACAAGCAACTGATTGGCTCTTTCCCTGTTAGACTTGCTGATTTTCCACCATGTTAGACACAGAGTTAGATGATCTGGGACTCACAGAAGCTTGGGTTACATGACTCCTTAAAAAAATAAGTGTGACAATAATACATGCAGGGCTTTGCGTTTGTTATTTAAGAGATGGAGCATGCACTGCTATATACAGGTCTCGATATCCAGGAACGGGAAAGGTACCTTGCACTCATCTACTATGACAGAGTTGTGCGCAGCGTAGACACACTGATTAGAGTTGCTTTCCCTGTGGTTCTTCATGTCATCATAAATGGATTGAGTCTTGGTCATTTCGATATCTTCATGGACTCGGTGCTGGGAGTCAATATTATCCAGTTCAGACTTGGAAAGGTGGTAGACGATCCCAGCCCCAAAAGAGTCACCCACGACATTGACTGATGTTCTCATCCTGTCCCTGGGGACAAAGCACAGGAAAAGTTTAGGGAGGAAGCAGTATGATGTGTTGGTTGAGAGGTCAAGGTCTAGGGCCAGAGAGACCAAGGGTTGCATTTTGGCCCTACCTTTTATGTTTGTTTCATCTGGGGCAAGTTGCTTAAACATCATAAGCCTTGATATCCTAGTTTAGCAATCAGAGATAACAATTATACTTCTCTCACAGGTTTGTGTGAAAATTAAATGAGATAGTATAGAGAGAGTGCCAAAACAATGTATACACATTTTAAGAAAGGAAAAAACTGTTCTAAAAATGTGATACCTCAAGTCACATTTGCCTTTTGCAATTACAACAGATGCTTAATGTGACCCATATTCATCTGTTGTTATTGGTATATGTTGAGTATTACAATTGTAATACAGTTTTTTTTCCTTTCTTAAAATGTATATACTTTTTTTTTGGCCTCTGTATATAAAATGTTTCACAAATATCTGGTCATTGGTAAACACCCAATAAACAATAGCAAAGAAAAGTAGGAGGAGGAACAAAGAATTAGAGAGAAATAATGTGTCCAAATCACAGAATGAGTTCTCACACTCCAGACACACCTAGCCATGTCCAGCAATTCCTCCTGATTTAAACTGTTCTTTGAAGACTCCACACTGTCTCAACTATTTTTTAGTTCTACTGGAAAGACTAACCTCCTATGACAGTGGTTCTCAACCTTCCTAATGCCTCAACTCTTTCAATACAGTTCCTGTGGGTCGTGACCCTCAGGTTGAGAATCACTGACCTATGAACTCTCCCATAATAGAAAAGTCATCTTTTTGTAAGTGTGGAAATTAACCCCACCTTTCCCCACCCCCCAGTAAGACACAGCAGTTGGGTAAGAAACCCAGCCACAAATTTATCAGTGACCAATATGTGTTATGACTATGTGTCCTAAAAGCAAAATACTTTTTATCTTGCGTTCTCTATTAACCTAAAAAAAATAAATCTCCTAGGGTGTTTCTGAAACCAAAGTATTAAGAAATTCCTTCCTTAAATCCTGTGTTACAAGTTCTGACTTGGAAAAATATGATGGTTCGTAACTCTCCCTCTTAGGTCAGTGCCAGGAAAGCTCATTAAGCTTTTAAAGTTGTGTCTTCTCATCCATAGCTCAAGCCAAATCGATGTGAAGAATCCTTTGGCCATGTTTACTTGCTATCCCAAGTCCTAAACAGAAGGATACTGGAAAATCACACAAAAAAGTGAAAAAAAAAAAGGAAAGAGTTAGGTAAAGACGCTGCCAAGACATTCTTGGTCTAGGACATTCTAGCCTTTAATTCAAATAATATTATTTCCAGGCACAGTGGAAATTTTAATTTATTCTTGGAACAAAGGCCTAAAATAAATCCTAATTGCTACTATCAAATCTATTTTTTATTAGAGAATAATAAAAATGGAGCTCGACTAGGAAGAATCTGGCCTTGTCCCCTTGGGAGGCCAGCTATCTGTAAGGTGTAAGCCAGTGGTCCTTCTGGTTTCAACTTGGAAGAGGCTGTGTATGCAGGGAAAAAACTAATTGGAGCTGAATGTTAACTCTCAAGGGCATCTATGTCTTCATCTGAGAATGGTCTTGCCCCTCCTCTGCTTTGGAGAGTCTGCCTCAGGGTGATCAAATCTATATGTGAAAGAAGACTGGATATTGAGGTCATCCACAAGACCAGCCTCAGAGTAGATTGCTAAGAAACCCCAGTAAAGGGCCACAAGAAGGAATTCATGGTAATAGTTCTTAAAAACCATGGACTCTAGAGGCAGCCTGACTTGGTTTTAATGTTAGATATGCCCCCTTACCTATTGGACAATCCTGATAATACTTAACTGTGCTTAGCACAGTTTCAGACATATAGTAAGAACTCAAAAAACATTACTTAATATATGATGTGTACTTTCAATATTACTATAAATTTTGTCAAGTCACTTCAAATAGGTTTGTGGCAGCTCCCAAGGGGAACATCCAAATATGCCTAGTTAAACTGCTATCTCCCCCTGGAAACATTAACCCTAATTATACGACAACAATGCCTATGGTAAAACTCCCAAATAATTAGATGCATTATTTGTCTATCATGTAATTGTGATCTACTTTGCAGCTATTCAACAATACTCTTAGTCCTTCCTGGCTGTGTCCTAATTCACATATCCAATACCTTTGACCAATTGTTAAATTTCAAAGAATGCTAAAGTATTCAGGAGAAATGCTCTAAGTAATCATTGATCTTATGGCCCAGAAAAATCTGATCTGCCTATTCTAGAAAGAGAGAGAGACCACAGGTAAGTTAGCAGTGGTGCTGATAATGATGATGATACCTAAAACTTATATCAGACTATGTATAGGAATATACTTTATAGGTACTTCCTTGTTTAATTATCACAACTCTATAAAAGTATGAGTTTTATAGAGTTTGTGTCCCTCAAAATTATTCACATTTATTAAATGACAAAACTGAGGCCTAGAGAGATTAGTGACTACTCTAAACCCCATATCTTAGCAAAATTATAGCATGAACTCCAGAATCCACTGCCACATGACGCAAAGCACCTTGGACCAGACAACACTAATTTTGAATCTAGCTTAGTCACTCCCTGTGTGATTGTAATGACTTGTTGCTATGTTCGAAATGTTTGTATCCCTCAAAAGTAATAAATTGAAACCCAGTCCTCAAGGGGATGGTATTAGGAGGTGGAACCAACAGGAAGTGATTAGGTCATGGAGGTAGAGACCTCATGAATGGGATGAGCACCCTTACAAAAGGGGCCCACTATTTGACGCTGCTGTCCTCTTTCATCGTGAGAGGACAGCTGTCTGTGTGGAAGCTGGCCCTCAACAGACACAGAATCTGCTGGTGCCTTGATCTTGGACTTCACAGACTCCAGAACTTTAAGAAATACATTTCTGTTGCTTATAAGCCACCCATCTATGGTACTTTGTTACAGCAGTCTAAATGGACTAAGACACTTGCTCAAACAGAATTTTACTCCGATAGCCAAAATATCTACATTATAGTATTGGGGAAGATAAAATCAGTTCCCAACCAATAGTCACCCCTCATTATGTGTCAGCTCCCTTCCTTTTTGGGTATAACCACCCTCCATCCACCCACCCCCACACACATACACACACACAGAGTCATACTCCATCACTGGACAAAACAAAAAAATACTATGCACAAGGGTTAATGACTTTTACAGTTTAATAAAGTCATTTCCACTCAAATGGGCAACAGAAGTTCATAAACTCCTGTTTCTTCAACCTTTGACTTTAATACCAAATCCTTTCCTGAATCAGACACTAAACCAAGTTTTTGAAATAGTATTTCTGGGTGAGCTTTCTCTGCCTTTGTTCAAAGCCATTTATCTTCCATGCCATTAGATCTCCTTAAATTTGAAAAAGAACTTGGCCAAAGGAAAAAGCATTAGGACAGGAATGAATGGAAGACAGATTAGTGTAGAATCAAAGCAGATTGATGTCTGATACCAAGTCAAGATGGAAAGGATCCTGGACCTAGGGCTAACCCAGAGCTTCCAACTCTCACCTGAGCAAATAACTGCTTACCTGACTGTTAAATACAGAATGAGGCTAATCTCAACTTTGCAGAAAGTTGTAACTGTTAAATGAAAGGATACTGATACTCAGCATGCGATAAGCACTCATTACAGGCTATAGGAGCACATAAGCATAAAAACATTATTTTCTTACACCTAATTAGCTTTCTAATAGCTAATTAGAAAGAAGAGGACATCAACACTTATACTTTATGAGTTATTTGTTATGAATTCATTCATTCAACAGAAGGTTGATGAGCATTTCGGTGTGCATGGAGCATTGTGCCAAGTACTCCCCAGGGAGCAATGAATAAGATGAAACCCCTCTCACACTCTCTTTCCCCCAAGAACCACACTCTCTTTGTCTATCTCCTCCACTAGAGTGAGATGAATGTTCCAGTAGAAATAAATATGGTGGGCTACAGTTATGTAGCTGGAATACTTCATCACAACTGGGTCATAGGAAAAGTTTCAAAAAGTGTCTTGAGGTGGGCCCTAACAATGATTATAAGAATAGTATGCAAGAACTTTACAGGGTAGGAGCACTTAGACAAATTCAGGATGGCTCACAAGCACAGTGAGGCAGGAAGTAAGAATTGATCAAATCATGCACAGCCTTATCATCCAAACCCTGGAGTTAGAACTTTATCCCAAGTGTAAGAAGGAGCCACTGAGGAGAAAGATCACACTTATTTCACTCTGAAGGACAAGACTGAAAGAGTGAAATCCAGTTAGTGAGAAAATGGTGTGTATAAGAGAAAGCTACATTTGGTTGAGGCTTAAGAGATAGAATTACTAGACTTGGAAGACGGGTTGTCTATAGGGAATAAAAGACAAAAGAGGCAAGAGTCCCTCTCAGATTTTGGTTTGGATGATCCAGGGACAGTGCTGCCTTATGTAGGGGCAATGGGGAGAGGGGTCAGGGTGGGAAAGACTCTGGCTTCAGTTTGGACGTGTTGAGTGTGAGGCATGCGACTCAGTCGGGAGGTTGGGATAGGGACTGAGGTCGGGAGACCCATTAGAGGTGCAAGTGGTAAATCAGGAATCATTGCATGGAAATGACAGTGAGGCCACATGGGTGTTTCATTCACCCTTGGAGAGAATGCAGAGTGAGAAGAGCAGACCATCTAGGTTGGAAGGCTGAGGTCAACTAACATTTAAGGGGTGGGCAAAAGAATAAAAGCCTATAAAAGTGAAAGGAAATTAGAAGAGTTGGGTGTTCATAAGTATAGGGAGATAAGCTTTTAAATAAAAGTGTGGTAAGTAATGCTAACTATGGCCTAGGGGTCAGGTAAGATGAGGAAAGGAAGTATCTTTTGGTTTTAGCAATAAAAAGGCCACTATTAGCCTGGCACAGACAATTTCAAATCAGAGGTTGGGATAGAAAGTAGATCAATATAGGTAAAAAATTGAATGTGAGGTAAAGAAATGGA